GATGAATTGCCTGGGCGATTAGGCTATGCTGCAAATAAACGTATCTCGCTGGCAACTTTGTCATCTTTCGTAATGCTCCGTTGCAAACTTGGAAGAGCAGCTCATAATCCCAATCTTTGGTTTCCTGTCTTCATAAAACACTTAATCTGATACAGTTACATGCAAACAACCATGACATGAGAACAATACCGCAATACCTGCAAATAAAGGCAGAACCACAGAGCTGTCTACAAACATCTAGCATATCAAACTAGCCACCTTAATACTGGATGTGTTACACAGCTCAACCAAGCATAATATGATATCTAAGAACATGTTTTGATGCAGTGAGGTTGGACCCAAACAAAGGACGCTTAAAGGCAAGGAGACAGGGGTGTAATGGGAATGTATTTATTAAGGCTGGGGAAAAGGAAATGCAGACGTGGGAAAGCTTGGGCGGGTAGCTAGAAAACTGGGGCTGAAGCGGGTAGCGAGGCTGCTGGAGTAGGGTCTGAGGCCGGGGCTAGGGCTGACGAAACAATGGACAGGAGACATGGACTGGAGCCAGGGCAGACGGAATTGCAGGAGACAGTTAGGCAGGGGATAACAGGCAACAAGCAACCAGGATAAATGCAGGTGAGCTGACAGGTAGCAGAGACAACAATCTGACAGACAGAAAAACAAAGACAGACAGAGAGGTGCTGGAAACACATGGAGACACAAAGGAACGAGGGGACAGAGCCAAACCATTACGAGGCAGATAATTTCACAGATTCATCCAGGCATGGTGGCTGTTATTGAAAGTCTGACAACATAAAGCCAAGCCTTAGAAGCTGAGTCTGAAATGCCCATCCACACTCGTTATAGAGGACAAACATGAGTTTCCCAACATTATTTAAAACATTTTGCCCCTTTAGTGGTAACAATTCAATTTCTTTGCAGTGTAATGAGCATTAAAGTCGTATGGGACGTCTAGCATGGCTGTAGACTGTTGCTTTGAGACATGTAAGAACACCTCTTATTAAAAACTGGCAATGCTGCTAACCTCAGCAACCTGAAGTAATGTTCTAATTTCCATAACAGGAGTATCAAACAGTGTGCCATCTGTGGCTCACAGGTGAGTTTTCCAACCTGCCACGACCATAGGGGTCACACAACATGATTTTTATTTTTGACTACAGCAAGTGGGCCAAACAAAGTAATGTGTATGTTTCCATGTATGTCTGTGTTTGTGTATGTGTGTATGTGTTTGTCGTGACATTTTAAAATAGCAGCAAAAATCCCCCTAGCTGCTAACTTCCCCTGGGATGACTCAGGAGCCCTCTGTTACCACCGTCTAAACAATGATGCTACTCCAAAAACATTTGTCTCCACCGGACGCTTAAGTGTTTGTTTTACATTACACATGATATCACTAATAGGATGCAGATGAGCATTTTTTATTCTGTGATGTTTGTGTAGCGCTCCTTTATAACAACAAGTGACACCAGCAGTGTAATCTGTATGTCTTAATGACATGTGTGAGGTTTGGTTTTCTCTGGCAGCGCAGCAGCCTCACACTTTATAGCAACACTTGACAAACAGTCTCATACTTAGCCAGACATTGTCATTACAAGACATTTTCCTGAAGTATGTTGATAATAACTGGAATTGTGTCACTGTTAAATCATTCTGCCAAATGTCAAAATATCTCCTTATTGTTGTTATCGCAGCATTTTAAGTTGCTGCACTGTGTTTGTATCCAAGTTTGATTTAGGACAGTGTAAACAATTAAAAATGTATAATTCCAGTCATTTACAAGCCTTTTTTCTACTATGTAGAAGTTAAAGAGTTTCATTGTTGTGGCAGGATCAAATAATTATACACCTTTGTTGTCTCACACAGACACAGATGTGAAAGATGCTGCATGTCTTTACCTGCCTAGACTCCACAGACCTGCAGGCACCCATACCTACTGTCTAGAACAACACTCCCAAGGTCTTTTATTGCCAAATATCATTTTGAACGCCGGTACTGCAATGCCAAACAGAAGAGTGGCTTAAACTTGTCAGAACTTTTCCTTTGAGATTACTGAAATATTGTTTCTTTTTTTTTTTTTCTTTGAGAAGCATTGTTGTTTTCCATAAAGTCAATCCAGGTGCTTTAGTTTACAGCAGTACTTTGAGCTAAACCCTTGCTGAATGCTAACACGCTCACATTGAAATGCTAAAATGCTGATGTTTAGCAAATATCATGCTCACTATGTTCGGCATTTTAGTTAAGCATGTTAGCGTGCTAACATTTTCTATTTAGCACTAGACATAAAATATACCAGGCTAATGAGAGTGTCATTAGTTTTACAGGCATTTGGTCATTTTTATTAAAAATTACGAATTATACCTGATTCATCCATCCATCCATTTATAACTGCTTATCTGAAGCCGGGTCGCGGGGGCAGCAGGCTGAGCAAGGCATTCCAGCCGTCCCTCTCCCCAGCAACACTTTCCAGCTCCTCCTGGGGGACCCCAAAGCGTTCGCAGGCCAGATGAGATATGTAATCCTTCCAGCGTGTTTGGGATCTACCCCAGGGCCTCCTACCAGTGGAACGTGCCCAGAACACTTCCATCGGGAGGCACCCAGGAGGCATCCTGATCAGATGCCCGAACCACCTCAAGTGACCCCTTTCGATGCGTAGGAGCAGCGGCTCTACTCTGAGCTCCCTCTGGATGTCCGAGCTCCTTACCATATCTCTAATGCTGAGCCCCTCTGAGGAAACCTATTTTGGTCACTTTGTATCTGCGACCTCATTCTTTCGGTTACTACCCAGAGCTCATGAGCATAGGTGAGGGTTGGGACGTAGATAGACCAGTAAATCCAAAGCTTTGCCTTCCAGCTCAACTCTCTCTTCACCATGATGGTCCAGCGCAGCACCCACATCACTGCACAATTTTACCTTATGATAGCGCTAAATGAAATGATAAGGGACAGTTCTCCCCCAAATTAAAAATACATAATTTTCATTTTCCCTGTAGTGTTGTTTATCAGTCTAGATTGTTTTGGTGTGAGTTGCTGAGTGGTGGAGATATCAGCCATAGAGATGTCCGCCCTCTCTAGAATATAATGGAACAAGATGGCACTCGGCTTGTGGTGCTTAAAGTGCCACAAAATGTCGACTGGAGAAACTCAGAAGCGATGTCTTTATCCAGAATCATGACCCTGTTGCTCAAGATAATCCACAGACCTTGTTGTGAGCAGTTTCATGTAGGAACTATTTTCTGTCTACCCAACTACACCTGCCAACCGCATCACTGAGCAGAAGGAAGCGTGCATGTACTGCTAGCTCACCTGGCACCACTGAGCTAGCTAATGTTACAGCTCAGCCGAGGACAACGCCATTAATGTTTATATCTCATGCTGTCGCAAGCCTCTCGTCCATGAGTAGATGCACACTTCCTGCTGTGCAGTGATATGGTTAGCTGGTGTAGTTTGGTAGACAGAAAATAGTTCCTACATGAAACTGCTCACAACAAGGTCTGTGGATTATTTTGACTAACGCGGTCATAATTTATGGAAAGAGACATTGCTGTTGAGTTTTTTCAGATGCACCTTTTTTTGGCACCTCAAGCCGAGTGCCATCTAGTTCCACAATATTGAAGAGAAGGCAGGCATCTCTACAGCTGATATCTCCAACACTCTGCAACTTACACCAAAACAGTCTAGACTGATAAATAGCACTACAGATAAGGGGGCATACCTGATGCGTGAACAAAATTTAATCATCATCTACAGTAGAAATCTAGTAGATGTAGTGATATTTCCCTGACTAAGTGAAAACTTAGACCTGTTGGTGCACTAGATCAAAACATAGGTGATCACTAAAGTCATGAGGATTCAGCCTGTGGGCATCGTGAAGTCTGTACAAAAGCTTGAAACAGTTAATCTGATAGTTGTTGAGATATTTCAATCTGGACCAAAGTGGTGGACCAACACAGATCATTACTACCATCCCAACAACAGTTCGAATTTCCTATTCATGATCAAATTGCTGACTTATCTTGTATTTTGTGTTTTTCGCACATCTGTAGATGTTATCATGACGTTAACTGTGTGTTGTAATAAGCAGTTATTCAGAATTTGACATGCAATTGTGTGTGTCACCAAGGTTTTCCTGCTGTGATCAAACCTCCTTCAGACTACGGTTCCCCTTAACTGAAAAAAACTGGGATCATTTACATAATCAGTTTGTCATTGATGCTCTGTGTAATCCTGCTGACTCTGAATCACACAACTACTGGGCTTGGTGGGAAAAAACCTAAATCAAGAAGAGCTGATTTCCATTATTACCACACAAAAGCCATGCAGAGAATTGTTTGTCTGGTTGTTTGTCTGTATGAGATGTTAATATCATAGAGGACATGTAAATTTAAACATCATGCTTTCATCATCTCTCTCTCTAGTTTGACGTGTGTTTGTTAGTCATGTATCCTTAAATGTCTTTACCTAAAATAGCAAGACACAGAATGACTATCATGAGACCAGCAGCAGCATGAAAGAATTCCCAAATTTCCCTATTTTTTATAGCAGGTCATACATTTATTCTCCACTGTACAGAGTGCACAGATGATAACTAATGATGTGACATCCTTATTAAGAGAGTCCCAGAGTATGTCCTACCATATATGGTCATCCTGTTTAAATCTAAAGACTGCCATGTTAGTTTTGTTTAACAAAAAAAAAAAAAAAGCAAAGGGATTAAAAGTGCATCATTTTGCCTCATAGACATTTTTATTGGGAAACTCCTTAAGTCATGTAAGTTAGGGAATTGGGAAAGGCTTTATCAAAGCATTACAGGGGAGTTCAAAGGAGTACACTCAAACCACAGTGTGTGGAGTTTTACAGATACAAGCACATTCTTACAAAGGAGGAAGTGGCGAGGTGCTTTTACATGAATCACTGAGACCCTTTGAAAAAAAAGTGGACCAAAGCACTATAAATACCCGTCAGACCTTCTTGACACCAATGACTGGTTTGAACATCGCAGAGACAACAACAATGATAGCTCTACTGCTGCTGCTGGCGCTGGCCGCTCACTCCTTTGCTGTGCCTCTGCCGTCTGAGGACAAAGACAACTTTCTTTTAGCAGAGGTAAGATATATAGTTTTTGTCTTTGTTTTTGTCATAATCAGTGAAAAAAGACTCCACATAGTGTTGGAGTTCAGTAATCCCTGTCTGTTTTTTCATAATTATGATATGTCATTAAGCTTATGTTCTCTTTCCACAAACAGAAGTACCTCCGTCGCTTCTATGGCCTCCCAGCTGGTCTCCAAGGTCGACAGAGGTCAGCAGGTGCCCTCGAAAGCAAGATCAAGGAGATGCAGAAATTCTTCAAACTCAAGGTGAGCAGATCTGGGAAGTTCTTATTAATCCTGCTGGAAATGTGCAGCTGTTTTTGTGTCATAATTTATATTTTTCTTTTATTTGATGGTGTAGTTGAAGCAGGTTTTATTCACTGTTGAAAGAGAGATTAAACTTAAATGTGAATGAAGCGTCAGCATATTATTCGTGATGGACATTGATGTGTGTTTAAGATTTTTTAATGTGATATGTGATTAACTTTGATTCACAGTCATTGTTGGTTAAGCTGGGAATGTAGAAAAGATTTGGGTTTACATTAAAACTTTGGGAAAGCATTTTTGTGGGAAAGTTGAATCGATTTGAGTTGAGTTACCTTTATTGCCATTACAACAGCCTTTGTTAGGGACTTGAATTGCTGAGTTCATGGTGCAGAACAGACAGGACAACATTTAACCATGTACCCATGTAACATATTTTGTTTCCACCTCTTCTGAAGGTGACGGGAAATCTGGACGACAACACTTTGGAGCTGATGAAGCAGGCCAGATGCGGCGTCCCCGACATCGGGGAGTACAACCACTTCCCTCGACACCTCAAATGGCAAAATAACGAAGTCACATTCAGGTACGCACTGAAATATTTTTGCAAGGAGTTTAGAACATGACCACCAGCATCATTTATTCACTCACTTTCCTTGTCGCCTGTCCCCTGATGTTGCAGGATAGTGAATTATACACCAGATCTGAAGAAGGCTGATGTAGACAGAGCCGTCCGCAAGGCGCTGAACGTTTGGTCTGATGTCACCCCACTGATCTTTAAGAAGCTGCACCAAGGCAACGCTGACATTATGATCAGTTTTGGATCAATGGGTAATTCTTATATACTGTATCCTCCAAATACAAGCACAAACATACATGATGTTGATGTTAGGGTAATCACATGCAAAGAATTATAACAGTGCACATTCTGCTCCACACGTTAAAGACTCTCTGTCCTTTATTCTATAGAGCACGGAGACCATAATCCTTTTGACGGGCCTAATGGATTACTTGCTCATGCCTACCCGCCCGGCCAAGGCATCGGAGGAGACACTCACTTTGATGAGGATGAACACTGGACCAAAGATTCATCAGGTGAGAGTTGAGAACAAATGTACAACATACATGCACAAGTCACTGATCTGTATTTTAGGATTAAAACTGAACATCTTTCCTCTACAGCTTACAACCTGTTCATAGTGGCCGCCCATGAGTTGGGCCACGCCCTCGGTATGTCCCATTCCACAGACCCAGGCGCCCTGATGTACCCCGTTTACTCGTACACTACAGGCTACCCGCTCGCTGAGGATGACATTGAAGGCATTCAAGCTCTCTATGGTAGGAAAAAAAAACCTCAATAACTTAAAGTCAAAATCTTTTTATGGCATGAGACTTTTTTTTTCATGGACATTTTATGTGAACTGTGCATTAATGACCAATATTCAATCACAGGCCCGAACCCAAACCCAAAGAAAGTGAAGCCAAAGCCTGACGCACCAAACAAATGTGACCCCATGTTATCTTTTGATGCCGTCACAGAGCTCAGAGGAGAAACCATCATCTTCAAAGACAGGTACAGTGAGAACAATGATGGTGCTTTAAAAAAGCTTAATACATAAGCTCTCGATCATGATCATCATGTACTAGACTATTAACCTTTCACCACTATGGTGTGTGAGGAAGAGCTGATTATTCTTTGACTTAAACATTTGCTCTGTATTGAGGGTTACATATTGTAGCAGGGGAGTTGTAGCTGGGGGAAAAGTGGAACTGATTACCCTTTTTTTTTACTTTCTAAGGAATTAGTGCCATAACTAAATTAGAATTGGTTGAAAAAATAATTGAAGCTCTCTGAGGCCCCGCTCACCTCTTAAAGGCGCAAAATGGTTTAGTCCGGATTCGTCTCTAAACGCAGCAAGAGCCAAGTGAGTGACTGCTTGTGAGAGGTGCGTTAAAGCGGCATGGATCAAGAAAGGATAGACGGGGGCCAACAGAGACTGTTAATGCACAGGGCCTAGAGTTTGGCGCTACACCTCTGTATTGCAGAATAATTTATGCAGCTATTTGTTTATATGCCGCTCTCTGTTGCAGATTCTACTGGCGTCTCCATCCTCAGATGCCCGAGCCTGAGCAGACAATGATCAAGTCAACATGGCCCTCCATCCCCAACAAGGTGGATGCAGCATACGAAAACCCAGAGAAGGATGTAGTCATCATATTTAGTGGTGAGTTATATACTTAATTTGTATTTTTTAGATACTATAGATGCAACATGTGTTGACCAAAACTCTGCTCTGTCTCAACAGGGATCCGAATGTGGGCTTTGAATGGATATAACCTTGTGGATGGTTACCCTAAGTACATACACAAACTTGGACTTCCCAAGAAGATCAGGAAGATAGATGCTGCTGTTTACATCAGAGACACTGGGAAGACTCTGCTCTTTGCTGATGAGGACTACTGGAGGTAATGTGGTCATGTGCACCACGTCTCTCTCAAGTCTTTACATCTGCAGAGAACAATATTCTTCGGGATCAACACTGACATTTCATCACACGTACAGTAGTATATTAACATGTTGATTTTATTTGTCACACACAGTTATGACGAAGCAACAGGCACCATGGATAGCGGCTACCCACGAGCCATTGAAGACGATTTCCCTGGGATGGATGATGAGATCGACGCTGCTGCTTATCACTATGGTAATATGAAGCCACATCTATCACATTTTCACTTAGGTTAAAATATGATTTGTTTTCCAGCACTACCACTTTACCGCTTTCCCTAACTGATATCCCGTCTGTTGTCTTTCAGGATACCTGTACTTCTTCCACGAACAGATGCAGTACGAGTACAGTTACAACTCAAGAAAGGTCATTCGCATCATGAGGACCAACTCCATTCTCAACTGCTGATGAAACTGCCTGTTACCATCAGTGCTGGCTTAAAATTATATGTGGCTTTACTGAATACGAGGGGAAATTGAGACGTGCAGGGTTAACCTGATACAGTTAAAGTTAAGAAAAATGTTTATTTTTACTGGTGCTGGACACACATAGGCCATACAGTATATTTTTTTTCAGACACAGAATGCTGAAAATGTATTTGCGTAGATTATTTCTATTTATTTTACATCTCTATATTTGTACTACCAGTCTCACTTTTGACAGCAGGATCCTGTTATTTGACTACATGTTTCACTAATATTAAGGAGCTGAGCAGTTTAATATATTTTGTGTTTGTTTTTAGATTTTTTTTATTGCAGTTGATGCAGAGAAGCTTGATATCTGATCTTGGTGTTGAATTGCTGAACATAAAGTAATGTTGTCCCATTTAGTGACATTTTAAGGGGACTGCACTTACAGCATTTCCTCAACATCGTAGACCTTACTCTGTACAATAGCTTTTTTTTGCATGAGATGAGATTTAACACTTGACACAAAGGGGACTGTGTCTGAAACATGCACTAACTCAAACCATTTTTTTTTTCACAAACTGCTTTAACTAAATGTCATTTTAGCACTGATGTATTTTTGACATGTGTGACGTGAATTTTCTTGTTAGTATTGTTAAAACCTTTTGGCAAATTAATTATTAAATAAAATGTAAGTTAACGAGGCAACTGGTGTGGTCTTTACGTATACATCTACATAAAACATATTTTAACTCAAACCTGATTATACTTTCTTACAAGTTATTTGCATGGGGAAGTCAGATCATCCATAATCTTAACGCAGATGGACTGCTGCTGCCACTTCAAGGCTGCATTCATATAATACACTGGCCAGATGTAATACACCAGTCAGATTTAAGACTTTGGTGGTTTGGGCATGAAGTTCATTCATAATTTGTAATGCTTCTTGGAGCTTTCCTGCACACTTAAGATGATGTACTTTGCAGGAGGGTTATTGGCCTAATTTAGTATGAAAAATGCATGAGAATTGAAACATGATTATTTCATTATTGCAGCAACATTTAATAGAGTCCTCGGACAAGAGTTTAATTTATATATTTGCAAGAATTGTTTGAGAAATGTAAAATATACATGAACTCAGCACGACAGTAAATGTGCTGTGGTGTTGGTATAGCACCTACTGCCAAGAAACTCTGGATCATGTACATGTAATTCTCCACCTTTTCCACTAGAGAGCACTCCTATCAACAGTTTGGGTACATACAGATCCTGCTTTGAAAAGAATTCTGACAGATATGGAGCAGATTCAGTGAGATTTAGAAAAGATAAGTAACATTTAATGTAAGTACAACATCATGACAATGTGCCACAGCTAGATGTCAAGTCTCTAAACCACCAAGTGTCTCCTGAGTTTGGAAAATGAACAAATAAATGAAGAAAAAAATCAGTTCATGATTCATTAGTGCAGCAAATGTTGGGGAAAATCTTTGCCCTGGCATTATTAGACCTGAACATACCTCGCATCAAACAGACTAAGCATTAATCGCATTAATAAAGGGCCATTACACACAGTATCTTTATCCTCCAGCATACTATAACAACCTAAAGCCAATTACCTAAACAGAAAGTTTAGGGAGTTAGGTGAGATGTTTATGAAAATTAAGAATTTATGTAGTGTGAGCAGTCCAATTTTAAGTGGTCAGTATCTCACGCGGAAGTTTGGGAAACAGTGAAGCTTGAGCCAAGCAGCATAATCCACAGGCCCAATCATGTGGATGTAATTACAGTGCAGTGAAGCAGTCACCTCATTTGCTCATTTCCGAGGTATTGCGTGGTGTGGGTCGCGTCACCGCTCCACAAATCCTGTGCGTTCATCACCACTGTTGGCTCTGAGAGTCTGCTTTATCTGAAAGTAATACGTCATTTACATAAGCCTTTTTTTTCAATCAAATTCAGATTATAATGTCATTTGCATGTGCCACAAATCATACTTCCCCTTCAGCTTGCCACTTCAGACTTCATGTGTTTTGAATAGAAATTGAAATTTGGAAGTGCAATGCAAAACAAGGGGAAAGACATGGCAAAGGAAACATTTAAACAAGAGAGCTCATTGTTTCTGGCACTGATACAGCTGTCTCCAGGCCTGTGTTGAAATCTCCAGTCCTCTCCCTGCAATTTAACCTTGATGTTTATGATGTTTAGAGGTGCATGTTTGTGGCCTGGTGGAAAGCAAATCCAGTTTTCAAAGACAGGAGAAGCACTCACAGTGAAATACAGCTGATGTGAGATTTAAAGCTGTCTCTAATGTATGTTTATTTCAGTGTGAGGATTACTTTGCCTCCTATACTTGGATGTGTTTTCACTCCTCTGGGAAGGTGAACAAGGCAGTCTCTTGTCTCTAAATATTCATTACTGACATGCTCTCGCTCCTCTGTGGTTTGCAGAAATTCAGCAACTTTTAGTGTTGACTTAACTTTTGGCATTTATAGAGCAGTGCAACGAGAAACATGAAAAATTTAGTCACTTTTAGCCCCATGTGGATTTAGAGGTCATGTAAGTCTCCCCTTTTCCTCCATCTCATTCCAGTCACAGCCAGGCACCTCTCCCCGTTCCTGCCCCAGTCAGAAGTCATTACCATATCTGACTCTTTCAACTCGTTCAAAATGCAGCATTGAGGATTTGAACTGGAGCCAAATTAAAAGATCATAAACCTTGAATACCTTGAATTTTAATGTCTCTGCATTGGTTACAAGTTAGGTGGTGGAGTGGTGCTGGCTTTACTGATGTTAAAAGTGCAGCCACGTCAAGACATTACAGAGAGTTCGCTGCCCTGTGAGCGGAAGATTTAGATCCTGCAGCCCTTCTGATCATCCTGCAGCCAAGACAAGGTGGGTGCGGTTCAGCCAGCGGACTGGAATGAGCTCCATGAAGCTAAAATGTTTTCATCCACCACCTATTTATCCTCATTTTATTTTGATTTTATTGTGTTTTTTGACTTTACTTTATTTGTTTCATTTGTTTATCTCTATAGCACTTTGAAGTTAATGAAAAAATGTAGAGCAAGGATAGAGACAGTTCAATGAGGTCAAAGAAAAATGGCAATGGAAGTAAAAAAAAAAAGAAAAAAGAAAAGGTGGTATCCTTTGAGAAAACCTTAACACAGTCCAGCCCAGCAGCTCCTGATGGAAACCAGATGGTGGAGAATGACAGAGAGGGCAGCAGTCTCAGGATGTATCCCTTTTCCTCTGGGAACTCCCTCCTCAGGCCCCCAATATGAGGCGGATGATGCAAGACTACTGCTACTCCTACACTGAGATGATTATTCTGAGTGTGAGCAAACCACAAGGTTTGGGGAACTTATGAAATGTCATTAAGACAGAAATCTTTCATCAAGTTATTCATATATTTTAAAACATATGAATTGACAAACTAACATACGTGTACTGAAGGGGCAAAAATCGGTGCCTGTAATTGGGCCTATAGGCTCCCGACCTTGTCCTCAACGTTGCTTCTCAGTTGTCCTCTGATGTCGATCTGGTACCTTGGATTCAGCTAATTAATACTCAAAGAAACACTGGAGACAGGCAGAGTCCGATGCAATCGAGTTTAATGTGTTCACAATCTTCAACACATACAACTCTCGAGTCAAGCTCCAGAGCAGTACTGAAACTCGCTTCTCAGCACCTCTGCTTTTATGCTGGTGGAGACTGGGTAGAGTCTCCACCTCTTTCTGCTAATCCATCCCACTCTAATCCAAATCTATTGGTGGCAACCTTTTCCTTTTTGTCCAATCATGAACAGGCCCATTTTTAATGGTGTATCACTTTCATTTTGAGCCTGGAATTCCCCAAATCTTCCACCCTTAGCTCTGGATTCGCTTTCACTTTATTTTTAAAAAATGTGAATTTTAGGGACTTTCTTTATGCAGCCCCTTGTGCACTCATGCAATATGAACCTTTAAATGTGCATCAGGTAATACAAACATTTGAATGTGTGTGTGTTATCCTTATACAGGACATGATAGGTTATATGTGTGTTCTTCAGTGTGTGGATACAATGTGAGCTCATAACTCTATATTGTGAATACTTTGACATATTTTAACAGTGCTTTAACACATATAGATGCATCTCATTCAGTTTTATAAAAACTTATACATAAAACATGGTTATATGATGGTTATATGGCTTTGTTTCTTAATCAACTTGTGCAGTATAACACTTTTACTTGATTAGGGATTAACTCTTTACACTACAGTACACATTTTACAACATGCCTGCCAGAGTGCAGGTCGGTTAGGTACAGGATAGGCACTACATTGTTCAACTTCATTTGAACAGTACTGATGACTGTGGCTTTTATAGTGTACTTAGCGCTGATAGTGGCAAATATTATGCTTCTGGGTGTATCTGTTTATTTCCTGTTGCCATCTATTTACTGTTCTTGTCTCATCTGCCTGTTGTTATTCTTCCTCTTTCCTTAAATAGAACAGAAAAAATCTGAAGTCATCGTATTTGTAAAGCAGCCAGTGATTCACTGAAAAGGCACAGTCTGTGTTTCTTCCTCCTACTGGATGCTGGAATGTGCAGAAGGTCAGCCTCTGCTCTGTGTCGACCCGTGAGTAAGTAAATCTGACCAGACATGACTCAGGGGCGGACACTGCTGTGTGTTAAAAGTGACCTGTTAATCCAGTAAAGGAGTTCATCTCTTTGGTGTGAAAGCAGCCCTTGCAGCGGGCTTTTAGGATTAGTTGAGGCCTCTGGAGTGTTTCCCTAAAACTTGATTTACAAAAACAGTTACAAGAATCATAATCATGCATCAGAAAATAAAGCTGTGGAAGGGTCACACTGTGAAAATAAAGACTTATTTTGAACAGTCTGACTGAGTAAGAATTCACATGGACGTAATGTTTGATCTTGGGTGAATTTGCCACCATCTGTTACACAAAACTATATAATAAAATCATGTGGACTTTGGCTCAATATGGAAGTCAGGATACACTTGTACTGTGAATACAGCAGCAAACAATTGTTCTTTCTAAACAAAACATGACCTCAATTTCCAGCGAGGGAACAGATGTCGAACGCAGACTTGTGAACAGCTGATGGAACTGTTCTAACCTCAGTGTGAGGACCTCTGTTTGCAAAGAATCAGCACAATAAAACTTACACTGTACAACACTACTGACCAGGAGCTGGTCCTCCTCATGCTGAGTCATGGTACAGCTTTTTAAAATGTGTGAGTCAGTCAAAAGAGATGTTTACTTTTCCTGGAAAGTTTGACTTTCTTTGCAGATGTGAGGTTTTTAGGGTATAGCAGTATTCTTGGAAATAAAGCAGTGTTCACTTGCAGCCCATTGTCACAGGTTGCCTTCAGGTTGTGACAAAGAGAGGGGAAAGGAGCAAATTTTAACTTAATTTAGTCTTGTAAGCATAGAGTAAAGTCTGAAATATGTGTATATATTTTGTGAAATAGAAACTTATTTTTTTCTGTTTTCATTTGCTTTTAATCATTTTGCGACACCTTGTGAGGGCCCCCCTGGGTTACTGTCTTACACAGTGTCTTGCAAAAGTATTCAACCACCTTGGTGTTTTTGTATTTTGCCGTCTTAAAACCTGTAATTTGAATGGATTATTATTTGGATTTTTTTGATGGACCTACACAA